AAAAATTACAGAAAAAAACCCCAATAAAATGTAAACATTTACAGAACAACCTGTAAAACCCTAATATACATACATAACTCATAACAAAGATTAAGAAATACAGTTATTTAAACAAAATGCCATCAAATATGAAGTGTCATACAGGGAATTCTTGGAATGTCAGACTTTTTCTCACTGTAAATTATAATATAATTTGTTCTTTTTAACTTACAAAAATGGTACCTTTAACAGTATTTTACTTTAAAATTAAATTAAATGTAAGGTTAAATTTATTGTTTCCCCCCTGCATTTAGTAAGTGAAATTACCGTTAACCAATTAGGTTTTTACTGTAGCATTTTTACAGATAAAATCACAACTTAATAAAAAAAAAATGTTATGAGGTTTCATAACATGCTTGCTTAACATGTTACCAGGCCAGACCATATTATGATTTGTCCTTTAGGAAATGGAGGAATATTTTTACTATTGCCAGCTACAGAATCAGGACCTCAACACCATGGAAACACGGCTTGTGTCCACGCGCATCCCTCTAGCAGATGTGCCCTTCTTAATGAGAGCACTTGGCTTCTATCCAACTGAGCAAGAGGTGCAAGCGTTGTTGCAATCACCAATTCATTCTACCATGCAAAACTAGCATCGTTGGATGGACTAGCACTCAATCCTTGTCTTTTTGTTTTGTTTTGTTATAGCTGGAAGACATGCAAAATGAGGTGAAATTCAGCCACTATGCTGAGACCAGAAATTATGTGACGGACATCGATTTGGAGGAGTTCATTAAGCTGTATATCAACCACAGACCTGCCTCTGGCATTTCCAGACAGGAGCTTTGCAATGCCTTTCAGGTGCTTGGAAGGGCAGACGAGGAGGGCACATATACTATTGACAGAGACGAACTACTGGAGTTACTGCAGGCTAGAGGTAAATATGTTTTTATGAGTTTTACCAATACTTTTGGTAACTTGAGATACCAGAGAAAGAATTATTATAATTAACAGAGAAAGGTTTTGACTTGCACATTCAAAAAAATATGCACAAGGAGTCTGACAACAGCCAGTGTGCTTCACACGTAGATATGATCACATCATCATCAAGTCTGTCTGTGATTACATGAAGAAACAGAAAAAAACTAAAACAGACTAAATCCAGAAGAACTGTGGCAACATCTCCAAGACGCTTGAAGAAACCAACCTGCAAAGCTACCTGAAAAAGTGTACCTAGGACAAAAGATGTTTTAAACACAATGTGTTGTCACACCAAATATTGATTTGATTAAAAGTTCTTTGATAAATAAATACATTTATGACACTATTTTTTTAAAGCATCCTTACTTTACAGCGTTAAGTGCCTAATACTTTCACAGTACTGCAGCTTTGCAGGTAGGTTTCTTCAAGCGTGTTGGAGACTTTGACGCAGGCCTTCTGGATTTAGCCTGTCTCAGTTTTTTCCGTTTCTTCATGTAATCACAGACGGACTCGATGATGGTGAGATCAGATCTCCATGTGGAGCATACCAGCTGTTTCAAAATCTCACTCGTTTGTAGGTCTATGTTGTATCATTTCTCATTGTAGCCCATTTATTTGATTTATTATTTAAATTGATTCTCTGTATACTGTATACTTATTTTTGGACTGATAGTGGTTAATAAAGTCAAATAATGGTATGTGAAAGAGTCGGTGGTACCGTAATATCATTGTGTTCCTGTCGGTCAGTGCTAGAGGAACTGTGCAACAATTCAGGCTTGGCCTGACAGTTAGCCTGCCCTAGACCAGGTTAAGCATAAGTTGCTAGATTTAGCTATGGAAGTAAAATAATGGCAAATGTTTTTGAAACAAAAAAGCTGTGTTGTGTTGCTGTGTGCTTGTGTTTACAGTGTGTAATATAACATGTGTTCATGTTGCGCGTGTAAAAAAACACAGTATTTTTCACACAATTGACTTATCTGTATACCGCTGTTTTCACTGTCCAAAAAACGGCCTGATGACTTCCTTGTTCTATGAAGTCCCTCCTTCAGAAATACGTAACGAGTTCTGATTGTGCCAGCGGTTCCTGTGTTGTGATTCGACAGCAGCTTATCGCACGTTGCCCGGAAAGGTCACGCCTCTTATCATAAATTGGAGATGCATGCGCACCTGAAGTGCTTCTTCTCCGTAGGAGCGCAACAAGACCACGCCCCCTTTTTTGTGTATTCCTGTGGGCGAAGATTAGTCAAAAACTGTTCTAGTTACGTCATTAAAAAAGGAAGTAGAGGGATGTAGTCCAAACCGGCCGTTCGCTGTATGCTTTGAAAGGTACGGTGGCCGAGAGAGCTCAACGCGCTGCAACTGAAGCAAACACATGCAAATAGAAAAACACGCGTGCAAATAGAAAAACACGCGTGCAAATAGAAAAAAAACATTAATTAAAAAAAACATCTTCATCAGTTTCACAACACACGTGTGCTCCAAATACAGAAACGCGCTGCAAAAGTTCACAACACAACCATATACAGAAAACGCGCTGCAAATAACACAGACCACAACGGAAATGTTTCCAGGGGAACCAAATGTGACGAACCCGGCTGGGACGTGCTTATTGCTTGTGAGCTTCCCTGTGCCATACTCCTTTCGAAGGGTAGATTGCAGAGCCCTTAAAGTGGGACTGTGGAGTGAGCAGGGCTCTAGCGTGCTGCTAGGCAGCCGTGTGGAACGCACTTGATGAAGGGAGCAACGACAGACAATGTAATTTCCTCATTATTTTCACCTGAGATGTTCCCATGACAACGCAGCACGGTGTCCATCAGCTGGTCTTACGACAGAAATATAATGCTGTTAACATAACGGATGCAAAATATTAGGCTACCTAACATTTCTTACGAAACTTTTCTTTATGAAAATGTAATAACATGAAACAATTTGTACAGTGTAACTGATGTATAGATAAATATCTTTCCTTCATGTTTTTCTTCTTTATCTTTTTTATTTATTTATTTTAGTTTCCAGCTCATTGTTCTTTTCTCATTTGTATTCTGATGACATTGAACATATTGTTAATACATTTTGTACATTGTATACAAGTTGTATGTCATAAAAAATGTCATCTCTGAATGTTTTGCACAAATAAATAAATAAATAAATAAAGTATAATTTTAAGCTTTAAGCACCTGCACGCATAGATTTATGGATATCTATGCCAGCACGTCCCAGCCGGGTTCGTCACTTATTTGATTCCCCTGGAAACATTTCCGTTGTGTTCTGTGTTATTTGCAGCGCGTTTCTTTATTTGGTGGTGTTGTGAGTATTTGGAGCACACATGTGTTATGAAACTGATGAAGATGTTTTCTTAATTTGCGGGTGTTTTTTTATTTACACGCGTTTTTTTCTATTTGCATGCGTTTTTTTCTATTTGCATGCGTTTTATTTTATTTGCATGTGTTTTTTTCTATTTGCACGCTTTTTTTTCTATTTGCATGTGTTTTATTCAGCTGCAGCGCGTTGAGCTCTCTCGGCCACCGTAGAAAGGGGACTTCTGTTAAATAAAATATCTCGCTAGGCATTGAACTTTGAGCTTTATAATTTTACAGGTATTATTTATGTTTTAACAGCAACATTACACACTAATTAAAGTTTGAAAAATGGAATCGCGAAGAACGGGACCTTTAATGGATTGTATTTTTAGGTCTTGCATTTTTATAGGCTGAAATTCAACATGGTTGTTTATTTAAGCTGTGAATATTTCAATTCAAAACATTTCACAAGCATTTTCATTATTAAAAATTCAATAATCCATTTTCACCTTTCAGATTTCACTTCCAAAAATAAATGGACCGAAAATTGCCTGTCGAATATTATAGGTTGTATTTTTGAAACAGAATGAATATTTTGGAAGTGAAATCTAAAAGGTGAATGTGGATTATTTAATTTTTAATAATGAAAATGTGTGTGAAATGTTTTTAATTGAATCTGTACTTAATCTGTGTTTCAGAAAGCCATTTTTTAAACCACGATTAACTATTCTAGATTAAGGCCTACTCCTGGCTTTATTTAAACCCTGTCCGGGAAACCGCTCTATTGACAATTTTTGATACACTGCATAATTTTGAACAAGCGATTAATAATTAGTAATTACTTATGTTCATTTCAGGTGAACATATGACAGAGGAGGACTTGGCTGAATGCTTTACAACTCTTCTAGGTATTAGTGCAGAGGGAGGCAGTTGCACAGGTATGTAGAAGTTCTGTGAATCTCCATACTGATGGCCGAATTTGGGTGACATGTTTTCAGGTCCAAAAGCAAACAACACAGTGCTAGTATAGGCTACACTCAAGGTGTGCTGTAATACTACTGAAAAAGCATGATCCTAACCTTTATCTCTGTGCTCAAATATCAGTTTGCCGCCAGACAGTGATTTATCTTTTCTGAATTGTTAAATGTCCATGAGACAGGAAGCCCAGAGTACATCCTGACTTTTTAAAATCTTAATTTAAGGGTGCTGTAAATTAATAGTGCTCATAAACAGCTGTTGAGATAGTATTCTCACTTAAAACGGAGTAGAGGCTTGGACCCAGAAACAGTATTCGATAGCTTCTAAGGAGAAGGACTATTATTGACTAAACTAGTAATGAATTTCAAAGTGTACCCATGTTTTAATCTCAACTACTGTGTCTGTCTTTCAGAGTCTCTGTTGGAGACTTTGCTACCCACTAAAATCACCATGAGGACATTATCCACAGATATCTTGGGGTTTTCTGCAGCCACCCAGGAACTTCATCAAGAACACGCACACGATCTATATCTGAAGTGTCCAGAACCATTCTGAAACTTATAATCTATCTAATTAAAGAAATGTATGATTTGTAGTCTGCATAACAGAACAGTCATTTTGTGATTACTACTGAGCTGTTGTTTCGGTGTATACTTTTCTGAAACGCCGAGAGAGAGATAAAATCAAACGTTGTTTGACACACTGTCGATCCAGTTTCCATTTTTTCCTCAGATACACGTGTAAAACGTGTGTGGATGTCTTAGCCATCGTTTCGATTTGATCGACGTATTCAGCAATCTGTTGAAATATCGCTTTCTTTTCTCTGATCGCTAACAAAGGAGCGAAACGCATACCCGCATTGACCGTGTCTCTCATGCTTCGAGGGCATTTGGCTTCAGCGCAGGCGCACAAACCCCGCCTCTCTCCTGTGCTGTGTGCATTCGCATTGTGTCTAAACAGGCAGCGAGCAAAAAGATATTTTACCAACAGCAGTAATGTCGGGCAGGTCGGTTCGAGCGGAGACGCGGAGCAGGGCGAAAGATGACATCAAGCGGGTTATGGCTGCAATTGAAAAAGTGCGGAAATGGTAAGAGAGAGCGTCTACCCGTTAACGAACAGTACAGACAGCCTGTGGGGGAGGAGAGACAACGAGAAACAATGAAATGAAAGGAAAGAGAGCGTTTATTCCACTCCAATTTCAGTCAGATGTGCTGTTTCTTCGCGCGGCTGGGGTTTTTGTCGGCGTTTGAAAAATTAGTTAGGAAAAATGTTCATCGCATTTTTCTTCCATTAAATGTTTATGTGGGTTGAACCTAGAAGCCATTTCGTTGCAGTCACATGAAGCCTTTGCTGTTTGAGCCTGTAATGCCGGCTGAATAGTAACTGAACGGGCTGACATGAACTAGAGTCAAACGTCCGTACCAAACAAAAAGTGCCGATGAATGGGCTTTTGACTCTAGTTCATCTCATCTGAGAGCGAGAGACTTCTGAGAGACGGAGCGTGAGAAGAGTTTTATCCGCGCGCGGGGGGTTTAAACTCAGCGCGGAGCTTTAATACACTAACCAAAAACTTCTGAAGGTTGTGCTTAAACTTCAGTCCAACTTCAAATAATTCCCCCAGCAAAATGGTTATGAGGTTAACAATAACCACAACAACAGTATATTTCCTAAACTTTATTTAGAAATATATAATTCTTATAGAATTATATAAGGAAAATCGTAGTTTTATAATGACATTAGTGTGATTGAAATTATCCTAATCTGTGAGCTAGTAAAAAGTGATTTTTAAAGTAAATAATATCAATTAAGTTTAATTAGTGTTGTTCTACCCTGTCCACCACGTACACTATTGCAGAGAGAGTTAACCTCGTGTATATAGTAAAACTAGTTTATTAGATGCATTGATAATATGTTATCAGTTGCATTGCATATTCTGGAAATACCCTTTAAACGAACAATACCTCTGCAGAGATTTCTTATACCTATAAATGATTAATCCTCTGTTAAACTCATTTGCTTGCGGTCTCATTTGTCTGTGATATCTAACAAAAACATGCATCTCCAGGGAGAAGAAATGGGTGACTGTTGGTGACACGTCACTACGAATCTACAAGTGGGTACCAGTGACAGAGCCCAAGTCAGATGATGTAAGTGACATATAATCACCATAATGCTCTGCTATTGCAATTCTAGTCAATACCAATAACCCAATTATTGTAATTTTTTGCCGATTTAACTGATAAATCTTTTTCAATCTGTTTTTCATATTAGGAATTTATTTAAAAAAAAATTATTAGAAAAGGTAAATTCATTGTGGGATTGAGGTCACTAGTGCCAAAAATGTGTTTTTGTTGCTGGTGGCCCAGATCATTACATGTTTTAGTTGTCGCATCAAACACAAAGCCAACATTATTTTTGCAATATATGTTTCAATATTCTTTACATGGCTTAATTGCAAATGTGTGTGTATATATATATTTATTTGTCACACAGAAGAACAAAAACAAGAAGAAAGGCAAAGATGACAAGTATGGCTCTGAGGTCACGACCCCTGAGAACAGCTCCTCTCCTGGAATGATGGATATGCATGGTAATGCTGCAGACATGACAGTTATCTGACTCTAATCACATCTCAAAATAATGCTCATTCAGCCTTTTCAGGTGCTGTTACTTGGCAATTATCATAAATTCTAGTGGGGTTTTTTGTGTTATTTTTACACCAAATTGAGATTGTTATTTGTGAACAGTTGGTCTTCTAAGAATGTATTAAATATTTAAGTATGCCAGAAATTACCTGTAATTTCACACCAATTATCCATTTAAAAAGAAAAATCCTATTAATTGTTTTTCAATGGTCTGTTTTCCTTCTTAACCAATAGTGTTGATGAAACACTCCAATTTAATTGATGTAATTTGCTATTCTATAACCGCCCATTAACATGTCATACTGTTTGAAAGCTGTTCAAGAATTTATCAAATCCTTTGTCAGACCTTTTTAATTGTGTTTCTGTTTTTCACCTACAGACGATAACAGTAACCAGAGCTCCATTGCAGACTCCTCCCCATTGAAGCAGGAGAACAGCACCAACACTAGTCCTGCACCTGAACCCATGGCAGCTTCTCAGAGTGACAGCAATGACTTGAAAAGTGACCTATATCCCTCCAAACAGCCTTCTTCTGGTCAGGATCATAAGAGTGGTTAGTCACTGCAATGAATCCTCTACAAGCTCACTATCCTCTCTTCTCTATTCTTCAATGTTTATTTTAATTTCACTTTTTTATTTTCAGAACAAAACCACTGCTCATCAGAGTCTAGGACAGCCAAAAGGGACAGCAAGTCACAAGGAGATTCGGAGCACTTTTTAGACTCTTCCAAATCGGCCCAGGTACATGCTAACCGTGTCACTTGCATGAAGGTTTAAAAAAGTCAAAGTAATCATTTAAGTAGATATAGCAACAGTTTTCAGTCAGAGATCAGTCAACTGATTCAGTGGTTTCTTTTGAAGGAATTGGAAGATGGGGCTCCCTCAAACAAAAAAGGAAAAATCGATTCTTCCTCTGAAGAAAGTTAACTATCTTCTACCAGCTGTTATGCATTTGCGATCCCAGTCTCTTATCCCGAAACACATCACAACATAAAGGAGGTTTTTCTTCAGTTCTACACTTATCCCTACTGCCATCTATTCACTTTAAACCAGAACCCTGTCTTTTGCTGTCAGTTTTAGTGTAAAGGGCATGTCTGGATCGTCTTTGTATGAGTTAAGGCAATGAATCAAGCTGTGAGATAGTGTACTGATCCTAAAACAGTTCATGCTGCCCTACAATCACTACGTGCTGTTTCTTTTGCCAAGATCAGTATTGTCAATTGAAATGGCACTGGAACTGCCATAGTTTTTCTAAATTGGCATTATCAACTGCCTTTTTTTTGTGTGTCATCACCTTTTCTTGTTCACTCAGGAAGGTCAACACTGTTTTTTTTTTTAATCACGGTGAAAGTAATTGATTTCTGCTGCTGTAGTTTAGAGAGATTTCACCATAAGTAGCTAAATATAAAAAAAATACTGCAAATGGTACTAGTCACAAGTTATTCAAGTTCTCCTGTGAAGACCATAGCTTGTAGCATAGGCCCTGCTTGGTTGAGTGCATTTGTATTATTGAGAAGAGGATTTTTTTTTTCTCATCTTGTTTTTGACTACACATTTTGGTTCTCATTTGTTTGTTTATTTGTTTTTCAAATATCTACAGTAGGTAAGCCGAAAATGTTAATTTTCACTAATGCTCAACTCAAACCAAGCTTTGAAATGCTGGTTGCCATTTCAACAGCACTACAACCTTCCAACGTACATAAGAGATACAATAATTGCATCATTTTGATACGTCAAATTGACAAATGACTGATTCTTTTAGCAGCAACTGTACTGACTGCATGTGTCGTCGTCCAAGGAAAAAGGTGACATTGATTAGATTGTACCACAGGCAGGTTAAGGGTAGACAGCTGTACGAATACCTCATACTCAGTCCAGCAGTGCTGGAATGTAAACACTAAGTATGACTTTCTCGAACTTACTCTGTTACGTATGCTTGAAAAATAAAATGTATATATTTATACGATTACGTTTTTGCTACCCTTACGTTTTTGCCACAGTGTTTCGCCAAACTGCCTTCTGTAGTTCAATCTTTGAAACTTTTAGCAAAATGTATTCATTGGGACCATATTGTTTTTTTTCTTTCCCAGTCTATAATAGAAATGTCTTGTACAGAAGTATGGTTGTCTATCCTATTTATTCCACATGTAGTTTATTGGTTTTCTAAAAAACAAAAAAAAACAAAAACAAATAAAAGAAAATTATTTCCTTTGAATGCTCATTCATTTTGTTGCCAAATATCAAGCCAGAATATGCTCTGAATAGTAAAGATGTGCTTGAAGCTTGATTTCCTTAGATCCATTTTTACTGCACATGATCTGGTGTAAAGACTAATAAATCATAACGTGTCGTGAAGACTAACAGAAAGTGATACATAATTAAAATAAACTGACAACAGTGTGCGCAAGAGATGTCTGAATGTGAAAAACAACAAAGATTTACTGCATATTTGATTAGCCGCACTCTGTGATAATGTGAAAAGTGCTCACTAGCTTTCCGACATGTTGTGGTAGAACAACTAACATGGCCCACAGCAATACCTGGTAAGATGCTAAGAGAACAATCACTCCATTTTAATGCTAGTTTTCTGTCTGTTTTTCACTATGCGTCTGAAAGTGAGGTTGATGCGTGGTGTTTTGACCTTTTTTCTGACTGGAAGACTGTGATACCAGTATGTGTTTGTGGGATAGTTCATGAGCAGAAGACTCCCGTGAGCCAGCTCCAGCTTCACAGGCTCAATCTGACGTTTGCTAGAACCACTTCGTGCATCCTTATGTCGGAAAATGAAGTCTCGGACAGCCCCTAGCGATACAGAGGCAATAGGACAGGCAGGATCGAGTTCCCGTTCATCATCCCGATGCTCTCCCATGTGATCGTGACCATCTTTATACCTGATGTAAACCATAAACATACTTTCCTCATTTTGAAAGAACATGACTTCTATGTGAAGCAATGCACCACTTCAGGCTCATAGGTAGGACAGTGGTGTCTATGTGTCAACAGCAGAGAGTTGAATTACCTGTTTATCAAAACAAAGTTGAATGTATGGCCTGTTGCCTTGGTAACAGCATCTCGAATGTGTTCCAAAGTGGGAGTCCACGGTTTAGCCAGGAGATGGACTCCAGAGAAAGAGTACATCAGTCCCTCGTCCCCATATGTCGCTTGCTTCCTTGGAACACTGTATGACTTTCCATACACTTGTACTTTAGCTTTGTCACCTTTGTCACATGAGAAAATGGAAACACAAAACATTTCAAACACTGGACACTAACAAAATCAGCATCCAAAAAACAACAGGATGGAGTACTATATCGCCGTAATCTGGCACACAGCATTTGGTACAAATATAACAATGAAGTTACATTGTTTATCTAAATAACACATCCTGCATGATTCTTATATCTGTAACGCCAATATAAACTGTTTTAAAGTTTGGGGTCAGCAAGATTAAAAAAACACAAAAAACTTTTATTCAGTAAGGATGCATTAAAGTGATTAAATTGTTACAAAACATAAATATGTTCTTTTAAACTTTCTATTCATCAAAGAATCTTGAAAAACACCACAAGCATCACTGTTTTTAACATTGATAATAATAAGAAATATTTCTTGGGCATCAAATCATCATATTAGAATTGATTTCTGAAAAATCCTGTGACTGATGACTGGAGTAATGATGATGAAAATTCAGCTTTGCCATCACAGCAAATTACATTTTAAAATATATTAAAATAACACAATAGTTATTTTAAATTGTAATTTTTTTTATCAAATAAATGCAGTCTTGGTAAGCTTAAGAGACTTCGGTAACACTTTCTATGAAGCCTATAATAAATTATAGCCCCATTTATACGTATAAGTATTACTATTATATAAATATATTTATAAAGACTCATTAAGACATACTGCATTATAAGAACAGTTACAGTTACATTTATATTATTTACAATTATAAGTCATGCATTTGCTTTTTCAATGTGCATGCTCATAATCCATTATACACTGATTTATAAGTATTAATTAGTCAGTCGTATGATTCCATGAATGTATTTATAAAGATGCAGCCTGCATTGCTATAATATTATTATATTATAGTTAAAACATTTTTAATAATTCTTTATTCTTGTTAAATAAGTGAATATATTGTTATTAATAGCCATGTTGTGTTCTTATAAATACTTATTGTGAATGATAATACAGTTAATAAGCTCTATAAATGCATCATTGATGGCTTTAAGTAAAGTGAAAACATAGGCAAACATGGATCTTTTTTTATGTTACATACTAGCAAAACACTGCAACTATATTTTTTTAAGTATAATTTCAAACTGCTATTTAGCAATACCATGCATATGGCTGAGGAGATTTTAACAAATCAAAATTAACATTCATTACCATAAATTCGTTTTTATAAATATATAGAATAGTAATACTTATAAATAAGTATAAATGGGGCTATACTAATTCATTATAAGCATGGGCTTCATAGAAAGTGTTACCGAGACGTCTTTCAGAAACTTTTTTTTTTTTTTTCTTAACTTTTGAACGGTAGAGTTAGTGTAGGCCTACATGATACAGAAGCACATTCAATACCTGTGAAATACACAACCTCCTCTTCTAGCTGGTTTAAAAGGTGATCAGCCTCCTCTTTGTCAAATAGAAAACTGTAGTCACAGTCCAATCCCTCTGCCTCAAACTTCTGCCAGGGAATGGGCAGAGAAAACTCCTCTTCCACCGCACACTCATCTTTGCATTTCTTGATCGGTTCCTCCGATTTCCATTCATCTGCCTCAACAACTGATCTTTTTCTGTGCCGAGTTACAAACTTATCCATTCGAACACCTGCAGAACAAAACAGAAAAGACTCTTCTGGTTTTGTTTTCTAAGTCTCTTTAATTTGTCAACAATTATTATTAATTAGTTATTTTGATATAGGTACGGTGGGTGTAGGAAAACTTCAATCTATGAACTAAACTTCAATCTATGTCATGCACATTTTGACAGTAAAATGTGGTTGACACTGTAAAGCATGAAGAGGGCTCTCCGGTTTATAATAAATGTTTTGGTGGTTAAAACTTGAGAAGTTGCAACACAGTCCGTGTCTTTCGTTATGCACGTGCATTATCTAACTGTAACTTTGGGGAAGGATTCAGTCGGGTGTCTTACCTGGATTGCGTTTATGTTTTAATAAACTATCCACATTGCATAGCTTAATGCTCAAATTATGTCCCAAATTTGTTTTCACTTCCAGCAATCGTGGGCTGCACACCTCCGGAAGTGTACGTCCACGTCACTACCGATAAGACGTCATAAACAGTGCTTATGTACAAACCATAGACAGTAAAAGAAACAAACGCATCTAGCCAAGACCTATTGTTCTGAATACATTCACTAGGAAAACCATGAAAAGAAACGTGTTTTGTATTTAGGAAATATTTACAGGAACCTCATATTACTCGAAGAAATAATAAGAAGACACAATTTTCATTCATTGACAGACTTGTGATGTAGCTATGACCTGCATCTATGTCACAGGAATTATTTGTTAGTTATTAAACGTAAAAGCAGTTAATAAATGATCATGACTATTCAGCACTGTGGACAAGGTTTGCAAAGAGGTCAATTTCAAAAGTGCAATATTTTATTGACTGTTTTGAAGAAGACACTGCCATTTTTGACAAATAAAAGATTTGGTCAAATATACTGGAGTAGCCTATACAATTGACTTTGTCCCACAATGGTTTAGTCACCCAAATGGTAACAGATCATTCCATTATTATTTTCCATTATTTTGTCTTACCCGAATAAGCCTGAAATGTTGAAATGTCTTTATTTATATCATAAATCCACTTAAGTTGGTAGTGTGCACAAAAGAAAACACAGAATGAAGAATACCGCAGTCATGTTCCCTTCAGACTACTCCACATTTTCATAATCATTGTCAGTGCAGTTTGCATATGTCTCCTCTGCTTCTGCTGAACGGTTCACATAAATTGCAACCTTATTTTCAGGCCTGTTGATATAAGCTGATGAAAACCGCCCTGCAAAGCGGGGAAAAAAAACTGTTTAATTTATTGTGAATATTTCCATAATAAAAGTAATTTAGTTTATTTATTTATTACTCACTTTTCCCTTTGGAGGTATTTTTTCTGAACTCTTGATCATTCTCTGCAACAGAATTATAATATAATATTTATATATTGATAAATATATAAATATAATGTCTCTGATAAAAAAAGGTCATGCCTTCACTAACAGTTTATATAGCTACGAGAATTTGTTAAAACAAGAAATACTCATCAAACCCACCATAGATGGTTTGATCTTTGCTGGCATCTTGAACTATCATCACAATGAGAGAAAGACAATGTTTGAAACAGGATGTCACCATCTTTTAAAACTTGAAACTTGATTTGATTCATGAGACCATGTGTTACTGAAAATGTTCACATGTAGCATATGTGCGTGAATGAATACTACTGTATATAGGCTAATAACAATATTGTAATAATAAGTTTAAAAAATACGGTAAAAAATAAGTTTACCCTGCTGGCTGTTCGCATAATATGGTTGATCTGATATTTCTGAAAGAAAGAGATTATGTTACATGAGCATGCAAACATTTTATATTTAAAATATATTCAGAATTTATGTGATATACTTACTATTTTGTTTACGCACAATGCAACACACTGTGACCACAAGAAGAAAAATAATAATTGTTGCTCCTCCTGCTATGAAGGGCCAAAAGGACATCACTGTGTCCTTTGAGCTTTCTGATTCACCTTGTTCAAATTCTTCTGCCTTTCAGACAGAAGTTAAAACATTTGTAACATGTACAACAAAAAACAGACAATAAATCAGTATATAGTATTTAAAAAGTATGATTTTAAGAATTAGTGTCAGGACACAATCAAATATACTCATACAAAATATGGTATGTTTTTGACTGCATTATTTTAGTGAATAAATCATACTTGTAAAACTGTCAGAGGTCCTCTTGAATGCAAAGTTGTGATAAGGTAGCCAGTAATTTTTTTTTACTCACATGTGTGAATTCCAGTGTCCTCATGATGTTTATTAATGCTATAGTTAAAGTATTAAGACAGTTCACAGTGGAACAGACCCACATTATGAGGATGGAGTACTTTCCAGTTTCGTAAAATTTGGAAGTCTTCTTCTATCGTCCTAACCCTTTACTTCACCTTTCAGAATGTTTTCTAAAATTAGATACTGTTGCATCGGTGCAACATCTCTGCCGTGCAGCCTGGCCTGGAGATGGCTGTTTCAAAGAAACGAGAGAGCATCTCTGCTCAAACCTGAGAAACCACAGCAACAAACACATGAATCTATTCACCAGTTTCCGTCTGCACATCACAGGTGGTCTTTGCACAATGATGATGTTTGCTGAGCTTTCTGCTGTTTTACAATGTTGGCAAACTTTAAATACTTATATGCTGCTGAGAATATAATGTCTTTGTATAATTATTATGTTTATATTAATGTCTGTTAATGGAACACACTCTTAAATTCTTGCTTGAATGATTCTACAATAACATCTCCTGAAAGGACTGATTAAAAACCATAACATGACCAAAAATAAACCTTACCATTTAGAGGCGAAAAATGCAGAGTAAAAAGCCCTAAAGTCCAACACAGAAAGAAAGGATGTTTTTTCCCCCCTCAGGTAAACATCAGGAGCGAGTGCTGCAAACCTTGAAACAATTCACTCTGATGTTTGCATCGAAGAGGTGAAGGGGCTGTTGGACAAGTGTCTTCTGTAATTTCCTGATCGCTCTACCTACTCCGCCAGTTGCCTCAAGACAATATGCTCATGGTGTGTGCATGTATGTAGCCTACTTAATCTTCACTATTACACGAAACCACTTGATTAGATGGATTTTAAAATTTGAACTCAAGCTTTTAAAAAGACCCACAAGTATAGCTATGCTTTTTACATGGCTGAAATGTATTATTATTATTTTTCACATTACTTTATACTTAGGTATTTTGCTTAAAGTATTAATTTTATTCAAGAGTAAATACTTTTAAATGAGAAAAAAAATACTGAGAGAGAATCTACTCAGAATCTATTCTTCATATTTATTTAGATTTTTAATATAATTAAGTAGGCCTATATTAATAACTGTTCAATTATATCCAATATAAGTTAAAAGGACTGATGGTGATGATTAAAGGGCAACTTGGCTGTGGAGGTACATAAGAAACATAATTTGTGTCTGTCAGCTGTAATTGGTGGAATATTAAGAATGGCATTACTGACCTCTAGTGGCCTCGCAGATGAAGATATTAAAGGTATAATGCCCTTTTCACAAGATGTAAAATCAGTCTTTGATGTCCCCAGAGTGTGTATGTGAAGTTTTAGCTCAAAATACCCCACAGATATTTTTATATAGCATGTTAAAATTGTTACTTTTTGAGGGTGAGCAAAAACGCACCGTTTTTGTGTGTGTCTCTGCACAGAGGGCGGAGCTTCAAGAGCTCTTGTGTCTTTCGCAATAAGTAGACAACATTGCTGAATGGTTAGTTGATAAATTTATGTAGCTTATGTGTAGTTATCTTCTAGTCATTGATTAGCATTTTCTGTTATGATAATCTATAAATCTCGTTCCCGGGGGCGGGGTTTATGTAAATTTTAGGGTTAGTGATGTCACTAACCCGGGAGGAATGTTGTATAGTCCCTACCAGCCATTTATTGTAGTCCTTAAAAATCAATTTCTTTAAAAGAAAATATCTCCCTTTGCTTTGAACTTTGAGCTTCGTAACTTTGCAGATGTTGTTTATGCTCAAACAGCAACATTACACACTAACTAAAGTTAGAAAAGTGAAATCATAATCAACCACCCCTTTAAAGTTATTGTTGCAGGCCCCGTGCAGAAAGCCTTGTTTAAAGATTAGAAAGTAGGGCTCTGAATCTTTGGGTAGGCAGCGAATCGATTCGTTTTCGATTCGATTCAAGAACGATTTTTGCAAATTCAGAAAGATTCGATTCAATGCGATTCACATTAAAATTCGATGCGATTCGATTAATTCAAATATTTAATTCATCTATCTGTAAATATCTTGATTTTGGTGAAACTTGCTAATTTTGTGGTATTGTTGAAGAAACAGCTGCCCATTTATTTTGTGAATACATTTAGGGTTGATTTAAGTTGTTATATTTTAAACCCTACTAATGTGACCCACAGTAAACCTTATACCGATATATTTTTTTATTAAGAAACCCCCAAATCGTCATCCCTTGAATATGTTGTTCATTTCTTTATTTTATATCCAAACATTTTCATCCACAAGCAAAAGGGGCTTACTGCTTTTTCTTGTTGAATTTAACTCTCGTTTCATCCCTCAGGCCTATAAATAACAAAAAAAGATTTTTTTAAATGTATTAATGAATTATTTAAGAAAATATATATATTAAGATATTCAACCTTGTAGGTTCTTTTTTCCTCTGTATAACATCTCATGTTATATGCAAACCCATGATATCCTCCTGAGACCCAGAAAAAAAAAGTTTTTTGAATTTAGTTTTTTTCCATGTCATCACACTGTTTAGAGCACAATAAACAAATGGTAAAAAAACATATATATAAAATAATATTTTATTCATACGTTATGCTATGTCCTCTGTAGTGGACGCCAGGACTAAGTTGTTTAAAAAATAAAATGACATGAAATTATATGTATAGGCAAAAACAATGGGATTTTTTTTCAATCGCCAATACATTTTGGGGTTTCAGGATTTTTTCAACCAAAATTTGTATAAAGATTATTCTCATCTATGTTATGAAAGAAATAATGGAATGAATTGATACACCATTTTACTTTTTGCAATATGTGGGTAAAATGGCCATAAGTTAATATTCCCATTCAATGCAATGTATCTATACACTGCATCTAATTTGCACATTAATGTGTTCTGGGAGCAACATTTAATGAAAGAATAAAGGTTAATAATTGGAGTAATAATTGGCAACATTTTAATAATAATATCTAACATTTCATAGGAATATTGATGTATAATTTATTTCCATATTCACTTGTTGTGTCTCCCAGAATGCCTGATAAACATGATTTTAGTCCTGATGTCCTCTACGGTGGACACTTTTGAAATCAATGCCCTGTTCTGTAACAGAATTTTTTTTTTTTTTTTTAAACCCCTTAACATTTTCCTGAGATGTTGTTTTATGAAATACAATTTGAAAAGTAGTCCAATTTATATTATAATTACACTATATTATCATATTTCCATAAGAATGCTACATTTGATCACTAAATTAATGTCAGACATTTTTAAAGACCAAGGAGAAGTTGTTTTCATGGTGAAACCTCCAAACATTTGGTATCTCTGAAAAGTCCTGAATGTGCTCTTTACAGGACACCCAGGTTGTGTCATGTGACATGTATGATGTCAGAGAAATTCACTAAAATATAATGTCCACTACAGTGGACAAAAGTCTATTCTTGGGTCCCAGGAGGATATATGGGTTATATATATCATGGGTTTGATATCATAATATGATATATATATATATATTGCATACATAATATATACAGTATATATATATATACACACCTCATTACATCAGTAACTCGACAGCCCTACCTAGAACGGTTTTCCTCAGCGTTTGTAATGTCTGCACAAAGGAGACGTTGGGCAGCTGTGTGAAGATTCACCTTTGGAGAAAACTGTTGCTTTTATACCCGTATCATTAATATTAAAAAATAATATTACCCCAGAATGTATTGCATTGTTATCCCACCCCAAAACATACAATAATACCAACGATAAATGCTGACCAATACTTAATTATATTACTTTTTACTGAAAATGATATAATTCAATAAAACAAACAATAATGTATGTCATATGACATAGCTATGCATGAATACACTCTAGATGTGTATATAGTAGGGATGCACGATATAGGATTTTGGCCGATATTCGATATGCCGATATTTTCAAACTAATTTTGCCCGATGCCGATACCGATATCGATATATTTGTATTTTTTTTAAGTGCAAAAAAAGCTTATTAAAGCTTCTATTAATGTTCTCAGTCAAGAGCAGTGAGTGATTTCCTCTGTGTTTTGTTGTTTTATTAACATTAACGGGATAGTTCTCCCAAAAATTTAAATTGTCATCATTTACTCTCTCAAGTTTCTTTCTTCTGTTGAAATTATAAAAGTTATTTGGAAGAATGTGGCTAACCAAACAGTTGCTGTACTCCAGTGACTTCCATAGTATATTTAAGCACAAGAAAGAAATGAATCCAGGTTTGAAACAACATTAGATAGACAGAATTTTTATTTCTGGGTGCAGTATCTCTTTAAAGACAAGCGGCAGAATATTATTACTGTCTCTTTAAGAACTGCGCGCGAGTAACGCGACGCGTCTAATATACACGCATTTGACAAGCAGATTTTCTCTGTTTGCTTCCACTTTAGACATAACCAACTTTGTTTATGTAAACCTTGTGTGTATTTGACAGTATCAGCGCAATAAGACTCGAAAGATTAGTCCAGTATGCAGACTCTGTGACAGGCTTTAGTTCCTGTGAGCGTCGCGTGTACGCGCTCAGAAAAGCGGATGTTAGAACAGCGCATCAGCACGTGAATGACATGTTTACCTAGCAAGACTTTGACGCACATGCAAACAATGAACTTTTGTGAATTGCAGTGTCCCGTGAGTGTAACTCTACCTCTGCGTTTACATGTGATGTGAATGTACGTCGCGTTGTACAGTATGTTGAGATGAAGGCGCCAGAATTGAACTGATAGAATGCACGATACTATGATTTTTCTTCAAAAGCAGATCGTGGAGACATTTTAATCGTCCACGATCAAAACCGCGTGAGACGCACGGCACACCCCTAGTTGGAAGTTTAAGTTGCTGGCGCTCATGCTTCGTTCGCGTCACGTGCGCATAGGAAACACGCCACCCTATCGGCAAGACTCATCGGCAGAAATATTCATATCGGCCGATGCCGATGATGGTCATTTTAAGCTTTTATCGGCCGATACCGATGTTGTCCCGACATCATCGTGCATCCCTAGTATATAGTGAACATATCTACATTTTCATTCAAACAATTAATTAAACAATTAATTAATTAATTAAATAAATATATTTTATTTACTGACAACAATGAGAAATATTAATAAATTAGTAAAAGAATGAATGAAAGTCATCACACAATAAACAAATGCATATTCAAGTCAACACATGAAACAAAGCTTTATTCAAACTACAATCATGTATGTAGGCTACAGGCGCTGAACCCCATCCTACTGCCATCTCAACACAGCGGTTCCCATTCAGCGGCTTTATTCTGATGAATCAGCTGACCGCCAGAGGTGAGCCGTTCCTTCGTGCCGGAGGTTGTTGCGTGATGTGTTGTGCTTCCCAATCTGAGGAAATAAGGGCAGGTGGAGGGATGGAGGGACTCATCCATGGCACCATTTCCAGGATTCAACTCTGGGCTCTTCATCCTCAGTGCTCACACCAGTCTGCTGACATTTCAGATCCTACAAAAATGCACAAACATAACACAAAAGCAGTCATTTTAACAGCACAATGTCATTTGATTTCAGTATTATTTAGAAGACAAAAACGCTTTTCACAAATGCCGCCATCATCTTTCCTTGCAGGTCCTACTCCGCCACAAAAGCTGTGCAGCAAATCCACATAAATCAAGAATCAGAAAAGTGCTGTAATAGCATTGTTTGAAATTACAATAATTAAAATAAACTACAACTTAATATTTAAATAGTTGTTGTTCTTCATTTCTGTAGTATACTCACTCAAAGCCTTTAATGGCTGCATTCATCAGCATCATGAGCCACTCTCCACTTGACACACACACACACATGTTCTTCTGTCCCTGTAACATCCTGACAAGATTCACATAACCTCTGTGATTTATGAGCTCAACACTACATTTACATGTTGAGGTTGTTTAAACTTTTTATCCAACATAAATGTTCCTCAATTTATCAACAGTACTATGGACAAATAAAATAGATAACGTATGTTTAGTTATAGATTTGTTCTACATAATAGCACACATACATCACTCAGATGTCTATTATATGTTGTGATGTGCACTTCTACAATACTTATTGAAGATTTTCCTGTCAGATGTAAATAGACATTTAAAATAAGCGTCTTTAAGATGTGTGGTTTATGTAAATCCACTTTAGAGACGTAACTTAAGTGTCGATCCTTACTGGAGCTCCCCTGATAGCGATACATAATAAAACGTGTTTTAACAACAAAATCACAACTATACTATACTGTCTAATGTCTTTACACCTTCAACAATTCAACAGTTTACTGTACAGTAGTTCAACACATGCAATTTTAACACAAGGGACCGTGTTTACTCACATTTGAAAACCCCTGCGTCGCTGATCTCCGCGATTGTTGATAATGACGTATCCTCTCGCGTGGCCTCCTGGGATAGATGAGTATCCACAGTATCCATCGGTTGAGCACTCGAAAATCTGTGCAGAAGCAGTAAGCCATCCGGGAACTTCTCGCCTACTCTTTTATGAATACTGATGTTTCGGACATACTACTCCTTTCACGTACTGTTTTCGCCTACTATATAGTAGGAAAGTAGGCATATTCGAACGCACTAAAGGTATACGTACGTCCGAATCTCGCGATAATTAGTACGTCACCCAGGTATTTCTCGCCTACTCTTTTATGATTCGTACATACTTTTCGCTCGCCTACTCTTTTTCCCATACTATATAGTAGGGAAGTATGCGGTTTCGGACGCAGCCCCTGTGAAAACAGGAAAAAATTGAGGAGACCGGAGCAGACGTGTCAGCGTCGCACATAATCCCCAGCAACTGTGCGGGCGCCGGCGCAATACAGCTCCTCTACACAAGTCCTCGGTTTACTTTCACAATAAAAGTCCCGATCTCACAGACACAAACAATGCTCTATTCCAACATATTATTTCTCTATTAAAATGATAAAATTAAAGAAAATAATTGTTTTCAACCAGAATCACAAAATGGACATACTTTAGGGTGTCACATCCTCCCCGACAAAATTAAAAAGAGGCTCCAGTTATAAAAACTTGGAAAAAAACATTCAAAGTACCACGCTCGGCCCAACTTGAAGGAATCCTCAACCAATACTCTCCAGTGTCATCCTCATCCGAATCAGTCTCTTCTCCCCATGGTAAGTAAGCTCCTTGCTCTGTGTCTCTCTGTCCTTTTGTCCTTTTTGCTTCTGCTTCACAGGTTTCCCAAGATCTGACGAAGTTTCCACAGGTAAATCATTTACCAACAACAGCAGGTTTCGATGGGTTCTCCCTTCTTACCTCCATTCTCAGGGCTCACCTTATACACTGAATTATCAGCCACTTGCGCTTTGACCACATAGATAGTTTTCTCCCAGTATGGTCTGAGTTTTCACGGGCCTCCACGCTCACTGAGGTTTCTGACTAAAACCCTGTCTCCGGGTCTTAGCACTACACCTTTGACTTTGAGGTCGTACTGGGCTTTGCCTCGTGCACTTGCCTGCTTGCTGTTCTCGCTTGCTATTTGGTATGCCTTACCCATTTTTCTAGCCCACAGTTCGGCAAATCCTCTGGGTGTTTACCCCTCGTCTTCTTCAACCAGTTCGAAAATCAAGTCAATAGGAAGTCGAGGATGTCGTCCATACAGCAGGTTGTAAGAAAAAATGATGTGGACGTCGAAGATCTCAAAAATGAAGTTTATTACAGCATAGCAGTGGCAAGGTACACAAAGCACCTTGGGTTCACCGGCGTCAGAATGAACTCAGAACATCCCAATCTTAAACCTTTTAACCTGTTACTGTTTACCACTCTTAATGTAAATGAAGTTGCTCTTGTTGTAACAGCTGTGTTCTGTATGTTAATGAAGTTGAGACACCCCATTGTCTGAGAAGGTTCTCGGTGTCCCACACCCATTCCCATTCTACAATTGACTACCATTTGTTCAGGATGTGATCAACCCAAATGGTGAAGAAACAATATAACTTCACTTCATTCATCTCTATGATAATTAAGCCATTTTGGGGATGAGCTCATTCTAAAATATATTTTGGAGTGGAATCTGGGTCGAGGCAGACTACAATTTCTTACAAGGTAGAATGGGAAATACCCAGTTGACTCATGACGAGTGCAATTGTAGGCATGTACAATCTGGGGCAGGTGATCTTTCCACTTAGTTTTTTCTTCCTCAGCCATCGTTCGGAGCATCTGCAGGAGCATCCCGGTTAAATCTCTCAGCTGGGTTCCCTTGAGGGTGATATGGAGATGTTCTCGACAACTCCAGCCAGTTGTCGGAGGTTTCTGAAAAGCTCAATTTCGAACTCTCTGCCCTGGTCATGATGTAGCTTCCCTGGGTAGCCAAAACAAGGGATGTAGTCATTAAACAACCGTTCAGCCGCTGTCCGTCCGGACTTGTTTCTCGTAGGGTACAACTAGTACATACTTTGCTTATTACTTTTTGGATTACTCCTACATGTTCCTCAAATGATCTGGCATAACACAACACATCATCAAGGTATGGAGCACAGCACTTATCTCTGAGATCGTCCAGCATCCCCTCTATACTGCGCTGAAATGCCGCAGGTGCATTGGACAGGCTGAATGGAATTCGTAACCACTCATATATAGCCCCCACGGAGTGATGAAGGCGGTCATGTGTCTAGAACCCTTGGCTATGAAGCCCTGATGCTAAGCTTTTCCTTGGTCAAGGATGCTAAACCAAGAATACCCTCCCAGGGTGTCAATCAGGTCTTGAATCCTCGGCAAAGGGTGCCTGTCTGATACGGTCTTCTTATTGAGGAGGCGGTAGTCTACACACAAGCACAGTGAGCCATCTTTTTTTCGAACACAGACTACTGGGGCGGAGTAAGGGGACTTAGATTTTACAATCCACCCTTTTGCCAGAAGGTCTTGGATGTAATCCTTGACTTCTTTGAACAAAGGCTTGGTTATTAAGGAATAGGCACGTTTTACTGGTATGTCATCTTTGAGGTTGATGGACATTTGAAGAGTCGGAATGCAACCAACATAATTTCCATCCCTGGCAAAGGATGAAGACTCCTCGTGCAGCATTTGCCTAACCACTGCTTGCTGATCCTCACTCAGATGGCTGAGATCTACAGGTGGGTGCCAAAATGTTGAGCTTTCATCCATTGCTGCCACCGATGCGTCATGCACCGGCCTTTGTCTCCCTGGACCTGTCTGCTTCCAACACCATTTCAACAGGATGGACGTACCCTAGGATTGTGTTGCGAGGTAAGGTAATGTCGCATGTAGAGTGGTTGCCGATAGGGACCGTAAAGTATGGGCTTCCTGAGCTCTTGACTTCCAAAAGACCTTCACCTATGTCCAACTGCTCCAACTGCACATTGTCCTCATCTGGCTCAAACAAGGCTGCTGTGCCGGACTGGTCCATTTTGGGTGGCACTCTACACTTTACCCATGCTACCTGACCTGCTGGTATCAAAACGCCGTCTCGGTTTATTCTCAACCGCCCCCACTGTCCGCTGTACTCGGGAGTCTGTACAAAACTAACCAGGGTCTGGGCTTGCTCACTTGATACTACTATTGCGCTGGAGAGCAATGAAACTAAAGTAGGAACTAGACGCTTTGTTTGGCCCTGAATTAGCTCTACCACCACATTGAAGCCAAGCAGCGGTCTCTCGATTGGGATGTGGCTCACCAGAAAAGGAACATTAATTGAGAGGTCCGGGTTGTCGTTCCCTTGTAAGTTGACAGTTATGACAGCCCACCCATCAAAGGGTATTAGATCTCCATTGATGGCATACACTTCTAACTTCTCTGTCATTCCCATGAGCTCCACAAGAGGCCTTACTTCTACAGTGGGTAAGTATTTGTCCTTCCAGGTTCGATCAATCATGCTTACTTGAGCCCTGGTATCAAGCAAAGCGGTCACCGCAAGGCCTTTGAGATTACACTGGGCCAGCGCCTTCTTTCCTATCAATTTAACAATAGTTTCTTTCTTAGTTCCGGACGGCAATGGACCGTCCACACCCTGATACATTCCTTTGTCACTGACGGTTTGGTTCTTACAACAGGGGGATGTTCTTGTGGGTTTACACTTTACAGGGTCAGGTTCAATTCCCAAAATGGGATCCTCAGGGCTTTGGGACATGTGGGGTTCGACATGTGGGGTTCGGTCTCTTGGCAGTGGCCATTTCCCGTTTCCCTGCAGTCTTTGCTTCCGGAGACATCATCGAGCCTGGTGCCCCTCTTCAATGAACACAGCTCTGTTCTCCGGCTTCGACACATCTGGGGCAACCCCGGAGTTTCGCCTTCTTCTGTGGGGGGTGACCTCTTACAAAACATTGACATGTGTGCTCAGGTTGTGGCTTCAGCGTTGACTGTCGCATGTCGACTGTCTAGCATACTGATAAGTGCGTCAATGCGAGCAGTAAGTTGCATAATTGGATCACTTTTACTGTTCTGACCAGGTGTCTCTTTTACCCCTCTGTTTGGATCACTTTGGAGTTGGACACTGCTTGGAGTGCTTTGCTTGGGCCGAGTTATCGGTCCCAATCTTCGTGCTCGCTCGTTTTCATCATTAGTGATTTTCATCACATTTCTCACGATTTTGTGATACTGTGGTCAGCCAGCAGGGGTTTGAGCTCACTCCTGACATCGTTATACTTGTAACCCAAGCCCTGATATACAGTATGGAGGAACACATATTGGATTGTGGCTGGGCTGTACCTAACATCCGTGTTAGACTGTTTGATAGCAAAGAGTATTTTCTGCTTAAAGGGTCACTTCACCCATTTGCATTAAGGTTTGTATTGTTAGAAACCCAGTCATATATTATAATGATGGTGGAATTTTGCTTGTTTTTTTTTCTGAGATGGGAGAAAAAAGGATTTAAGTGTTTTACTTCCGTCCTATCGTGACGTAAATATCGTCATTTTGCGTCACGATAGGACGGAAGATAAATTTCATTGCATATTAAGAAAACTACAGCCTTTAGCTCATTATTATTCAAGGGCGTGGGACCCACTCACCCCACCGGCCTATTACAGATCAGTGGGTGGGACTAAACCTGAAGAAACTAAACTATTAATCCGCCATCTTGCTTGGAAGACAGCAAGCTAAGCTAACAAGCGCTCAAGGAGTTAGATTTATCATAATGCCTGAATTTACGACACACGATATGGAAGACGAGGATTTTGAAAATCTTTTGCTCGAAACTGATGTTCGTGGCTATTTATACGAGCCGCAATATAGTGAAGAGCAGCTGAGGCTGATGGAGGAACAGGAGGCGGACGAGGAGCCCGGACTGGCTCGAGCTGGGCGGACTGCTGGTGCCTGTGCTCTCGCTGTGCGCTACGGACACAGA